CCATTGTGGAGGGATTGAGTCAGACAAGAGCAGGTGGCAGCAGAGGCTCATTGGCAGTAGTCAGTGTGTGTGGACAGGTTAATAGCCCAGTCAGTAGACTGGGGCTGTGGACAGATCTCTGTCACTCCCTCTCTGCTGGCCACTGACCCATGTAGTCATTGATATTAAATCCTGGGGGTACAGGATGGTATTGAGTGAAGAGAAGTAAACACAGGATTATGGTGGGGTGGTGAGCAGGGCCTAGTGCCAGGGGCATCTGGGAAGACTCCCTGGAGGAGGCATGATGCGGAGCAGAGTGATAATACACCAGGAGATGTAAACCCAGTGTTATGGCATGGCAGAGAGGGCTTCCGTAGTCCTTGGCCTCTCCTGGCTGTGCTGCACACCTACTTGGTATGTGGGCCCACCTCAGCCTCAGTTTCCCCATAAATCTGTGTTGAGGGCTCTCTGGTCAGGGCTGTCAGCTGCAGCAGCTCCTGCCTGCCTTAGGCCATGCTATGAAAAGTTTTTCCCAGGAGGCCTCAAGGCTCAGGTTAAGGCTGTGGGTTAAGAGGTTCTCCAGGGCACAGGAAGGCTGGTTGTCAAGGAGCTAGGGAGAAACCAGGCCCTGCCCATGCCTGCCTTGCAGGCCTCTGTGGAATCCAGACCCCTGTGGTCTCAGTAGCCACCCGGCTGTGCCCACCCATCCTGCTGTGACTCCCACAGCCTAGAGGGGGAGGCAGAGGCTTAACAAACACCGCTCTGCAATCATGTTTGTGCACAACTTAACGATGCAGCTTTCAAATGGTGTGGTGTGGCGTGGCGTGGCGTGGCGTGGTGTGGTGTGACAGTTTTAAAAGCCCTCATGATGCTTATGTCTGAAATAATGCAAATTTCTGACCCCCAATGCCTCCTCTCCCGCCCCAGGGACCTCCGAAATTGTGTGTTTATCTTGTCACCACATGGCAGCCACTTGAGCTGATGAATAGAAAGGCCTGCTGTCTTAGGAATACGTCATCAGCATAACATGCAGAGCCGTGGATTAGAGTGGAGGGGAGTGGAGTGATGGTGGCCTGAGAGACGTCGGCCTCAGAGAGGCCCAGATGCCCCTGCTAGGAGGCTGGCTCCCTGGGGTCAGGATCTTTGTAATGTTGACTGCTCTGTACCCTGTGTCTAGCATGTAGTTGGGCCTTAGTGAGTATTAGCTGAATGAAGGAAGTAAGACACAGGGCCCAAAGGTGATCAGCTCCATCCTGGTGGGGAAGGACAGAGTTGGGGCCATTCTTGAGCTCAAAAGAACATTTTGGGATGACTCAGTGAAAGCCCTTTCCGTCCCAGAAGGAATTGCTCACCAGCGGAGCACATGGCTTTTATTCTCTCTTTTTTGTTTTTTTTGTTTTTTGTGTTTGTTTTTTTGAGACATAGTTTCACTCTGTTGCCCAGGCTGGAGTGCAGTGGCGCCATCTCGGCTCACTGCAACCTCTGCCTCCCAGGTTCAAGCGATTCTCCTACCTCAGCCTCCCCAGTGGCTGGGATTGCAGGTGCTCACCACCACGCCTGGCTAATTTTTATTCTCTACCAAGTTCTTAAAACAGGCAGGTCACAAGATGTCAGATGAGGGGAGAACTCCCAGGGGTGTTGCCCTGGGCCAGCCTGAAAGCATGAGTTCTGGCCCACCTCGGCCTTGATCTTGTGACCCTGGGAAGTTCCTCTTCCTCATCTGGGGGCAGCAGGGCTGAGGATTCTTGCTTTCCCCACCTGTTTTCCCCTTTGTTCCCCTTCCCCATCTTTGCCTTTGGCTTAACTGAGTGGAGTGTTGTCGGCTATGGGAAGGGAGATAGGAGGCCCAGAGCATTTGGGGTCAGACCAGTGGCGCACTGAGAAATGTGGAATAGCAGGGAAAGCCATGATTATACCGTGTGCTGGCTTCTGTGGTGTAAATACTCCCAATACAACCGATCTTGAGCTACCAACGTGAAGTCAGTCCCTGAACGTAGGGTTGGGAAGAGATGTGCAGTAGCACACACCTTCTTACGGATTTCCACCATCACAGGTATGGTGGAACTTCAAGAGCAAAACGAGCAGAGGCTAGTGTGGTTCAATAACTAAGAAGTGATGAGTTTTGAGAACTTATTAACGTTTGTTTTAAACATTATCATTTAGGCCGGGCGCAGTGGCTCACACCTGTAATCGCAGCACTTTGGGAGGCCAAGGCGGGCGGATCATTTGAGGTCAGGAGTTCGAGACCATCCTGGCCAACATGGTGAAACCCTGTCTCCACTAAATATACAAAAATTAGCCCGGTGTGGTGACACGCACCTGTAATCCCAACTATTCGGGAGGCTGAGGCAGGAGAATGGCTTGAACCCAGGAGGTACAGGTTGCTGTGAGCTGAGATCGCTCCATTGCACTCCAGCCTGGGCAACAGAGCGAGACTCTATCTCTAAATAAATAAATAAATATAAAAAGCATTATCATTTAGTTGTAAATTTGTAAGCTGACTTTTTTTTAGACAGGGTCTCGCTCTGTTACCCAGGCTGAAGTGCAGTGACATGATCACAGCTCACTTTAACCTCAAACTCTTGGACTCAGGCTCTCTTCCTGCCTCAGCCTCCTGCGTAGCTGGGACTACAGGTGTATACCCCTGCACCCCACTATAATCCTGTGTCTACTTCTCTTCACTCAGTACCATCCTGTACCCCCAGGATTTAATATCAATGACTGTCCAGGTCAGTGGCCAGCAGAGAGGCAGTGACAGAGATCTGTCCACGGCCCCAGTCTACTGATTGGGCTATTAATCTGTCCACACACACTGACCACTGCCAAGTAGCCTCTGCTGCCAGCTGCTCTTGTCTGACTCGAACCCTCCACAGTAGAGGGGCCTCCTTTTGCTCCCGCCTCCCCTGCAGGGCCAAATTCGCAAGATGACAGCAATGAAGAGTGCCCTGGACTGGAAGTCGGTGTTACAAAGCCAGTAATTTTTTTTATTTTTTGTAGAGACAGGGTTTCATGGTGCAGGCTGGGCCTTTTATTTGTTTGTTTATTTTAAATGCAGCTGTGCCTGGAATAAGTTGACTTTCTTTTTTTTTTTTTTTTTTTTTTTTTTTTTGAGTCGGAGCCTTGCTCTGTCGCCCGGACTGGAATGCTGCAGTGGTGCGATCTCAGCTCACTGCAGCCTCCGCCTCCCGGGCTTAAGTGATTCTCCTGCCCCAGCCTCCCGAATAGTTGGGATTACAGGCATGTGCCACTGCGCCTGGCTGATTTTTGTGTTTTTAGTAGAGGCTGGGTTTTACCATGTTAGCCAAGCTGGTCTTAAACTCCTGACCTCAGATGATCCACCCCCCTCAGACTCCCAAAGTCTTGGGATTACAGGCGTGAGCCACGGCGCCCAGCCAACTTTTCTTTTTTCTTTTCTTTTTTTTTTTTTTTTTTTAAATATATATGTATATTTATTTAAGTAGGAGTGGGATCTCCCTGTGTTACCCAAACTGGTCTTGAACTCCTGGGCTCAAGCATTCCTCCCACCTGTGCTTCCCAAAGTGCTGGGATTACAGGCATGGGCCCCTGTACCCAGCCATAAATTGACTTTTAATAGTACCTTCCTTTGGCTGGGCACAGTGGCTCACGCCTGTAATCCCAGCACTTTGGGAGGCCGAGGCGGGCGGATCACGAGGTCAGGAGATCGAGGCCACGGTGAAACCCTGTCTCTACTAAAAATACAAAAAATTAGCTGGGCGTGGTGGTGGGTGCCTGTAGTCCCAGCTACTCAGGAAGCTGAGGCAGGAGAATGGCGTCAGCCCGGGAGGCAGAGCTTGCAGTGAGCCAAGATCGTGCCGCTGCACTCCAGTCTGGGCGACAGAGCGAGACTGTCTCAAAAAAAAAAAAAAATAGTACCTTCCTTTAACGCCCAGCTCATAAAATTCCTGCAAAGGAAACAGTTTGTACTTCCAGGTCAGAGCTGGGTTGGACCCACGCAAATGCAAATCCTTTTGCTGCCACTTATGAAGCTGTACAACCCTGGGCAAGTTACTTAATGTTCCTGAGCCTTGGCATTCTCATCTGTAAAATGGGCTTCCATAAACACCCAGCACAGGCCAGGCAGTTTAGAATGTGCTTAGTAAATGGTGATTATCATCATTTGTTCAGGGACATTAGCATGAAGGCAGAATGTTCTGGCACAAAGACACGTCTGTGGGACAGGCACAGTGGACTTATTGTGTGAGGCAGGATGGTACTGGGCTGGGAGACAGGACTGTCCTTTAGTTCTATACAGTCCTCCTATTGTTGGACACTTGGGCGTGTTCCACAGTTTGGCTTATCAGTTACTGTAGCCCCAGACATCTTCCAGCCTGCAGCTTTTTGTCTCCAGTTGGAATTCTGTTCTTGTGATCACTTTCCCGGGGGAGGCGGACTGGGTCAGAGGTGCAAACATTTCTGTGCCCCGCTGTGTTCCGAAGGGGCTGTGCCAGTTTCTGAAGCCAGCCGCGTGACTTCTTGCAGCAGTAACCACAACTGCTATTTGTTAAGTGCTGCTCCATTTACAAAGCACTTGCCCCTGTGATGCCCAGCGCCCCTTTGGAGGTAGGCCTTGCTTGGATTCCACTTTTGCAGGAGTCCAGAGAAACTCGGGGTGGTCGAGTGGTTTGCCCAAAGGCCCACAGCTGCTAGGGTGAAATCACGAACCTCAGGCAGGACTGACCGAGCCAGGCCCTGTTTACCTGCAGTAGCTCCACCCGTCCTCACAATACCCACATGAGATAAGTGCTGTAGACATCCCCGTATTAGATATGGGAAAATCAAGGCACAGAGAGGATAGCTAGCCTGTCAAGAACGGTGGAGATGCCAGCATCTGGTTGCCCTCTCTACCCTTAGCCCCTACAGTAAGACTCGGAAGTAGGCTTTCTGGCTCGTGTCAGCAGCTGATTTGACCCCAACACAGTCTGCCTCCCTGGACTTCCAGTTTCAGGGCCTGACATTGTCCCTGCCGCCCGCCTACTGACTGCGTCTCCATCTCCCTACAGGCACCGGGAGCCTGGCCGCTGCGGTGGAGACGGCCTCGGGACGCCAGGCCCTGGTGGTGGGCAAGCCCAGCCCCTACATGTTCGAGTGCATCACAGAGAGCTTCAGCATCGACCCCGCACGCACACTTATGGTGGGTGACCGCCTGGAGACCGACATCCTGTTCGGCCACCGCTGCGGCATGACCACTGTGCTCACACTCACAGGAGTCTCCCGCCTAGAAGAGGCCCAGGCCTACCTGGCGGCTGGCCAGCACGACCTCGTGCCCCATTACTATGTGGAGAGCATCGCAGACTTGACAGAGGGGTTGGAGGACTGAGCCCACTGCACCTGCAGCCACAGGCCCGCCCCTCCCCACGCCCTGATCCTGTAGGGGGAGGCGATGGGTCACGAGCCGTGTTACACACCACCGGCTCCTTGGCCCAGTTCTGCACCGGGGTGGGGCTGGGACCTGGGGAAGGTTTGAAGGCCCTTGCAACCCCCTCCCAGCAGTGGCTGGGCACTCTTTGCTGCCCCAGAAGCTGGTCCCCTACAGATTCATCTTGGCCTGACCCAGCTAGGTGGACTTATTTCCTGCCCTGTCACCTCCCCTCCTTGAAATCTGGGCCCTGGTGCCCGCGGAAGATTTCCTCTAGCCCTGAGCACTTAGTCTTCTCCCCCTTCCCTGGGTCTTCTAGAGCTCTCTCTGCCCCTCAGGTCCTGGCCTTTGGGTCCTTGTCAACCAGAGGTCTAGGGAACCACAACCCTTATTGTCCTGAGTGCCGGCAAAGGCTAAGTGATAGTGACCTCATCGATGTTGGGTCCTGTGGGGTACCAGTTTAGGTTCCTAAGTAACAGTGACCCTTTTTGTCCTAAAGCCCAAGTGGACCAATCGGAAGCCTAAGTGACGATGACCCTCGCATGTCCTAGGTCCCTGGGTGGACCCGTCAGGACCCCAAGTGATAGTGACCCAGTGGTCTTTTAGATCCTCAGTAGAACAATCCAGAAGCCTAAGAGACAGTGGCCCCTTGATAATCTGGGTCTCACGGGACCAGCCAGGGGTCCAGGTTTCAGTCCGTAAATAACAGTGGTCCATGTCCTGAAGACACCCCTCCTCTACAAAGACTGATGCTCTGGGGCTTCTGTGGCCAAGCCCCACCCTTTCCTGGTCATGGTACCCGTACAGTGTTGATGGCCACAGCTCAAAGGGGGGCTTTCATGTCTCCCTGTGCAGTCAGTGTTTGCAGTACCACCTCTCTCCCGTGCCCACTCTCAGCTATTTATTTAATTTATGTGTGCCAGTGACGGTGGGTGGGGGCTGGGCCTTCCCCGCCACCTCCACCCCTGTTGTGACCTGTCCTTCCGTACTTAATAAAGTGCGTGTGGGAGTGTTCACCTGTGTTCGAGTCCATGTTTGGGGAGGGAGGAGGACCCCCTGCTGGAGCCTGCTCTCCCTGGAGCTGGCCTGCCACATTGTTCCCTGCATGAAATGACCCATTCCCGTTCCTGAGTGTCTTCTGCGTGTAGCGATACTTTGAGTCAAGAGCACTTTATATGTTGCTGAGTCTTTGTGTACCGACTGACTTCAGTGCTTTGGAAAACCCAGCATGTTTGAATTACTCATTCCTTTACAACAGGAAATGGGGGATCAGAAATACGATGTTAACTTACCAAGGGTGAACAGCTGGACGCTGTGCTCGCCTTATGCAGGATTTGAACATGTATTGGCTGACTGTAGGAAGCTGTAGCCCCCTCTCTGGAGACACTGAGAAGGGAGACAGGAGGGCGGAGGATGAGGTCTCAACCTCAGGAAGCTCAGGGGAGATGCTCTTTGAGACATCCCCACACCTGGGATGCTGCCAGTGACAGTCTACCCTGCTGGTCCCGAGCTCCTCCAGGCAGAGGCTGTGTGTCTCCCTCGTTGCTGCGTCCCTGGGGCCTAATGCAGAGTAGGTGCCCAGCCATGAGCTAGCGGGGGTCCAGGGGCAGCCTGGAAAGGCCCAGAGAAGCTGAGAGCTCCGTGGGGAGGTGCGGTGGGTGCTGCACAAGCTCAGCTTTGGTCTCATTTGTGAAGTGACGGTGGGACTTCAGGGTCTGGGAAATCCTCTCCAGTATGATTCTTGAGAAGAGGGTGTGTTTGACAGAGCCCAGATGCTTCGTGAAGTAGGAGCAAATGTAGTGCAGTCGTGGAGACTTGTGTTTGTTTCAGAAATTCAGTTCAGCCAGGCACGGTGGCTCACACCTGTAATCCCAGCGCTTTGGGAGGCCGAGGCGGGTAAATCACAAGATCAGGAGTTCAAGACCAGCCTGGCTGAGATGGTGAAACCCTGTCTCTACTAAAAATACAAAAATTAGTTGGCCGTGCTGGCAGGCGCTTGTAATCCTAGGTACTCGGGAGGCTGAGGCAGAGAATCGCTTGATCCCGGGAGGTGGAGGTGGCAATGAGCCAAGATCGCGCCACTGCACTCCAGCCTGGGCGACAGAGCGAGACTCCGTCTCAAAAAAAAAAAAAAAACAACAAAAAAAAACAACAACGACAACAAAACTCAGTTCAACGTGGCTAAGGCATAGGGGGTTTTGGTCTGCTCCCTGAGGTGGTCTAGCACCCTCCAGGTATATCCTTCTCAGTTCTGTGTTGCCATCTCCCCAGCCAACATCCTAGGACAGATTATCATGGCCCGGCTTGGGTCATAGCCCATCTGGATGGGACACAGCTATTGGGTCATGTGACCCTCCCCGTCTTCCCCTTCACCCTCCACCAGTAAGGAAATGGTTATCTCCACACAGTCTTGCCTCAGCCTCCCGAAGTGCTGGGATTACAGGCGTCAGCCACCACACCCAGCCTAAGCACTGAATTTGTTCTGTGTTTTGTTTTTGCATAGGTTCTCGCTCCGTCACCCAGGCTAGAGTGCAGCGGCGCGATCTTGGCTCACTGCAACCTCCGCCTCCCAGGTTCAAGTGATTTTCCTGCCTCAGCCTCCCGAGTAACTGGGATGACAGGCACCTGCCACCACACCCGGCTAATGCCACCAGGTCTGGCTAATTTTTGTATTTTGAGTAGAGGTGGGGTTTCACCATGTTGGTTAGGCTGGTCTCGAATTCCTGACCTCAAGTGTTTGCCCACCTTGGCCTCCCAAAATGCTGGGATTACAGGCATGAGCCATCTTGCCCGGCCTCTAAACACTGAGTCTTGAGTTTAAAGCTTGAGTGTAAACCAATCTCAGTAATTTGATTCCTCAGGGTCAGCGATTGGCTACTCTTCTGACCAATGAAACAGGAAGAGAGGTCTGGAATGTTTGCCTTGCCTCACTTTTTTTTTTTTTTTTTTTTGAGACAGCGTCTCTGTCACCCAGGCTGTAGTGCAGTGGTGCAATCTTGGCTCACTGCAACCTCTGCCTCCTGGTTTCAAGCGATTCTCCTGTCTCAGCCTCCTGAGTAGCTGGGACTACAGGCACACGCTGCCATGCCCGGCTAATTTTTTGGCATTTTAATAGAGACTGGATTTCACTGTGTTGCCTAGGCTGGTCTCAAACTCCTGATCTCAGGCAATCCACCCGTCTCGGCCTCCCAAAGTGCTGGGATTACAGGTGTGAGCCACCGCACCCAGCTGTTTGCCTTACTTTTAAAGGACATGGAGGAGGAAGTCACTTCTCCTGGCTTGGGGTGTGGTGCTGGGAGCCGTTGCAGCCATTCTGTGATCAGGAGGTATGGCTGAGCATTTAACTCAGGTGACCCTGCTGTAGGTAGCAGAGCAGAAAGACCGCAAGAACTTCCTGGGTTTGCTTTTCCCCCACTTGTAATTTAGAAAAGTTTCAAATTAATAGAAAAGGTGCAAGGATGACATGATGAATACCGCTACATCCTTCACCTAGATTTACCAGTTGTTAATATTTGCCTAGTTTGCTTAATTGCTCTTTATATATGTTTACTTTTTGTTACTGTTTTAGAGATGGTCTCACTCTGTTGCTGAGTCTAGGCTGTAGTGGCGCAGTCACAGCTCATTGCAGCCTCTAACTACTGGGCTCATGTGATCCTCCTGCCTCAGCCTCCTGAGTAGCTAGGAGCACAGGCATATGCCACCACACCCAGCTAATTTTTTTAAAAAATGTTGCAGAAACGGGGTTTCCTTTTTGTTTTGTTTTGTTTTAGAGACAGGGTCTCACTATGTTGTCCAGGCTGGAATGCAGTGGCTATTCACAGGCAGGACCCCACTGCTGATCACTGGGGGAGTTTTGACCTGCTCTGTTTCTGACCTGGGCCAGTTCACTCCTCCTTAGGCAGCCTTGTGGTTGCCTCTCCCAGGAGGTCACCGTATTGATGCCAGTCTTAGCGCACTACAGCCCACGATTCCTGGGCTCAAGCGATCTTCCTGCGTCAGCCTTCCAAGACGCTGAGATTACAGGCATGAGCCACTGCGCCCAGCTTGTTTACATTTTTTAACTGAACCATTTGAGAGTGTGTTACAGATGCTAACACAGTTCACTGAAAATTCTTCAGCTTGTATGGCCTAAGAGCAAGGTCAGCCTACACAGCCACAATCCAGGATTACACGAGAACCCAGATATTTGATGATTTTGTTGAGCCACTGAATCTGTTATGGAAACTCCCAACTGTAGGCTTCTTTTGGTTTTTTTGTTTTGTTTTGTTTTGAGATGGAGTCTCGCTCTTTCGCCCAGGCTGGAGTGCAGTGGCATGATCTCAGCTCACGGCAAGCTCCACCTCCTGGGTTCACGCCATTCTCCTGCCTCAGCCTCCCGAGTAACTGGGACTACAGGCGCCTGCCACTATGCCCTGCTAATTTTTTGTATTTTTTAGTAGAGATGGGGTTTCACCATGTTAGCCAGGTTGGTCTCGATCTCCTGACCTCGTGATCTGCCTGCCACGGCCTCCCAAAGTGCTAGAATTACAGGTGTGAGCTACTGTGCCCGGCCTTTTTGTTTCATTTTTAAGACAGGATCTTGTACTGTCGCCCAACCTGGGGTGCAGTGGTGTGATCACAGCTCGCTGCAACCTATGCCTCCCAGGCTCAAGCAATCTGCCCACCTCAGCACCCAAGCAGCTGGGATTACAGGCACGCAGCACAATGTCCAGCTAATTTTTGTATTTTTAGTAGAGATGGGGTTTCACCACATTGCCCAGACTGGTCTCAAACTCCTGAGCTCAAGCAATCAGCCCACTTCAGCCTCCCAAAATGTTGGGATTACAGGCATGAGCTACTGCGCCCAGCCTAGACTTCTTATGAAAAAGTTTTCCTTAATTTTAAAGTGATTTCCATTGACTTTTCTGTTACTTGCAGCCAAAAGCCTTCCTGATACACAGACTTCAGGCACATCATTAGAAAACATTAAAAGGGCCGGGCATGGTGGCTCACACCTATAATCCCAGCACTTTAGGAGGCTGAGGTGGGCAGATCATGAGGTCAGGAGATCGAGACCATCCTGGCCAACACGGTGAAACCCCGTCTCTACTAAAAATACAAAAAATTAGCCAGGCGTGGTGGCGGACGCCTGTAGTCCCAGCTACTCAGGAGGCTGAGGCAGGAGAATCACTTGAACCTGGGAAGCGGAGGTTGCAGTGAGCCGAGATCACGCCACTGCACTCCAGCCTGGGCCACAGAGGGAGACTCTGTCTCAAAAAAAAGAAAAAAGAAAACATTAAAATCCACTCATACCCCACATTAAATATATATATTTTGAAGTATGTTTATACTTTTATTTGAAGGATTATTTGGCAACCAGGACCTAATTTAGGACGGACTAACCTCTAGGAATACTTGGACATGCTTTTGAAGTGAGAAGAACCAGGCTACAGAGTTGTTTTCAAGTGTAACGACATTTTTCTGACTACCCAAGTCAATATAAAGTTTGAGCACAGTAAACGTTTATAATTTCAGCTTTGCAGTTTTAGTATTTGGGAGCCGATCTCAAATATTTTCTAAGCTTTTTTTTTTTTTTTTTTTTGAGACAGAGTCTTACTCTGTCACCCAGGCTGGAGTGCAGTGGCGCCATCTCAGCTCACTGCAACCTCCACCTCCCGGGTTCAAGTGATTCTCCCACCTCAGCCTCCTGAGTAGCTGGGACTACAGGCATGCCCACTATGCCCAGTGAATTTTTTTTGTATTTTTAGTAGAGATGGGGGTTTCACCATGTTGACCAGGCTGGTTTCAAACTCCTGGTCTCAAGTGATGCACCCACCTTGGCCCCCCAAAGGGCTGGGATTACGGGCGTGAGCCGCCATGCCTGGCCAGATATTTTCTAAACTCTTTTTTTTTTTTTTTTTGAGACGGAGTCGCTCTGTTGCCAGGCTGGAGTGCAGTGGCACAATCTTGGCTCACTGCAACCTCCACCTCCCTGGTTTAAGCGATTCTCCTGCCTCAGCCTCCCAAGTAGCTGGGA